CAGGAAATACGAGGAAAGGAGCTTTGATTTCTATCACTTTTTTTGTGCAATTTAAAGATGAATGTCTCCATATTGACTTTAGCTATCAAGGTAAATGAGGGCTTGTTTTAAAGTGACTTTACTTTTTATTCAGAATTATAACTACCTTGAAGTGCATAATCTGAGCACATGTTCACTTTGGTTTTTAGCACAATTAAAGTATGCATCCAGCCAAGCCAAGTTTTAGATAATGTGGAGAAAGAATAGAACCCTTGACTTTTACTGCTAAAGATGAATATTTCTGCAAAGCCTATAGCTACAGGGCTTAATGAGGCTTTATTTTAAACAGTTTTACTGCTTGTTCAGAATTTATAAATGCTTTGTGCATAATCAGGTTCACTTTAATTTTTAGCAATAAATTAACCCATACTTACAGCCTATATTGTGTAAAGTAACACTTAATGTGTGTAAAATATTATGGATTTTGTGTATGTTTAGGGTTGTAATGTTTACAAGTAGAGGAAGATCTCTTAACGAGGGTCACAGGTATAGCACTACCCCCTCAGGAGTTGCTGAAATTTTGTGTCCCCTTATAGTCCCGCACAGCCAGGCAACACACATTTCCTTCCAGCCTTGCACTCCAAAGACAGTAAACATTCCTTGTTTTTTTATGTTTTAATAGGGGAATTGATAACGTGGAAGGGGATGAGGGATACGTGGGATGCCAAAGGAACTGTTAAATTGAGAACTTCCTGGAACTATGTACAAATGCTCAGAAGGGTTTCTCTTATTTGGAGAGATATCCAATCTCTCCTGATTAACCACCTTAGACTCCAGATGAAATCTCCTTATCAGCCAGCTGCCTGAGGGAATCTCTGGGCAAAGGGACCCACAATCTGCTACTTTAAGATCAGCAGTCCCAGATGGGGGCTAGTCAGGTATCAAACAAGAATACCGTCTCCCCTTATCTGGCCCAGGGGGTGTGGGATGATTCACTCGGTCCTCTCCTGCAAGCTCATGGGTTGTTAGCTGCCTTCAGGCCTCACACTGGGCTGGCTCCTTCCCTGCTTCTCAGGCTGTCCTCCCTCAGCGGATGATGTGGCTGAGAGATCCTTCCTTCCAGTTCCTCTGCCTGCAGGTAGACCCCTCTCCTGGACCCCCTCCCAGGCTTCACACACACCATCCTGCTCACTCCATCTTCCACCTGACTTCTCCTGCCACTGAGCAGGCTCAATCACTTTTAAGGGCTGTCCTGACCCCATGCCGAGCCTCTTGCTTGGGAATTGGTCAGAATCCCTTAAGAGTGCAGACCAGCTTCTCCCCACCCTCGCCCACTGAGTTCTGGAGATTTCTCCAAGTCTCTATAGATCAAGGGGAGGTATCAGGGAACTAATCTGCAGAACCTCTCAGCCTTGACCCAAATTTGACCCCTCTGACAATCTCCATGGCTGTCTCCTAACAAAAGAAAATAATTAGCTAGGCTACCTAGGAGGGTTCTATACAGGCTTTGAGAAGTATTCTCAAAGTGTTCAGTTTTTAGCTTCTGCACCTCCAGGACCTGCAGCACAATTTTCACAAAGTACAACTGCAACCAAATCACTTTGTTTTGTCAATGGCACATCAGAAGGAGGGGGCAGAGGCACAAAACTAAAACTGGGGTTGAGCACAAAACCCACTCTGATGCAGCAAGAAGACAGAAGTGCAGCTCCTACTGTACATATCAGCAGAGTGTCTTAAGTAAAAAAAAAAAAATCACAGCCTGTAATGTGAGAATGAAAGCTTAAAAAAAATAGCTGTGTCTGGAGTTGGGCTTTAAGATGAGAGATTTTACAGCAAGACAAATAATCTCTGTGTAATATAACAGACACTTCCATGGCTTGCACTTGTTTGGGTTCTAGCTACTGTTGTACTGTTGCACATACTGTAAAAGTTTTACTAAATGCAGAATAGTAAAATCAGTCTTTATATGCAGAAAAGCATGCTTGTTATACTCACTGTGGAACCTAAGGGGTTAATCCTCTGCATTCTGTAAAAAGGATGATTGATCTTGTCTTCTCTGATCCTCCCTTTCTTCTACTGTCCCCAATGCATCTGTTGGTAGAACAGAGCCTTGGAGGCCAGATGAGTTTGGTGCGTATTGGTAGAGAGTTTTTTTTTCCTGAGAGAGTGCATGTGATCAGCACAGGGCCAATCAGCACTGTCCAGACAGAGGGTCAGGGGTTATGCAGACTCATAGGACAATTAGGGGAGAATGAAAACTCCTCCTACAAGCTTTAACAAGTGCTCAGCTGGACAATGATAGAAGTCACAAGAGTGCTGTAACTGCTGAGGAGAAAAGGTAATTAGCAATTTATATTTACTAAAATAATTGCATTTCCATGTTGTGTTTACTGTGGGAGACCAGATATAGTGAATGCAGGGTCCTGGGTTTAGTAACACTTTAAGGGTTTGCATCTCAGCCCTTTTTTAAAGACCTTTCATTATTTATTATTACTTTTCTGTTATCATAAAAAGCTTTCCTATATGACATTTTGCTTAAGCAGTTTTCAGAGATCCCACTGCTTTCTAAATGGAGTGATAAGATGATCATTAAGTTATCACATGCACCTTCACTATGTGTGTGTCTATTTTCTTTATCATTTGATTTGGGTAATAGAGTATCCATTTGGGTCTAAACCAATCCCTAAGGTCTGCTGGATGTTTTAGCATTCTGCCATTTATTTAATGATGTGGGCAGGGAAAGGTTAAAGTACATCTGTCACAAATAGGGAAAGTCCAGTCTCAGCTTATGATGGAAAAATGCATAAGCAGAGGATACTCTCAAAGCGATTATTTGATCCAGCAATGTAAGAGTCAATACACAAAGCTTAAAGTAATTGTAAACCCTCACCTTGTAAAACAGCCCATTATGTTTAAAATAGAAATGAAAGGCAAAACATCTGTGTATAGATATAAAAAAATATATAAATACCTTTTTACCCTTTGTATAAGTGATCACATTTCCTCTGTTCTCAGCTGCATAAGAACTGGGGGAGGAGAAACAGCAGAACACTGAACTTCCCAGAGAATGGCTGTGTGGGGGGAGGAGAGGGGGGTGTCAGGAGAGGTCTGACCATTGGAGGAGAGCACACTGAATTCTCAATATAGCTAGACATATAAAAACATAAACACCCTTTTCCCCACTTTTGTTTTATAAGTGATCACATTCCCTCTGTTCTCAGCTGCATAAGGAGCTCAGAGAGCTAGGGAAGTGGAAACAGCAGGACACTGGCCATCCTAGTGAATGACTGTTTAGGTGGTGGGGGGGCATGTCAGCACAAGTCTAATCATTGGAGGAGAGCAAGCTGAGTTCCCAGCAGAGTCAGAAAACTGACCATGCTGTGTTCTCCTGCTTAGTGTGATCAGTGTTTAATAGGAAAGCAGAGGAACTGGCAGGGACACCAGCAATTTCACACAAAGGAAGCAATACAAAGAGAACAGGATTCATTTTTACACAAGTACATGGTACAACAGGCACATTGCAGGAATATGAAATGTTGGGTTTACATACTCTTTAATACTTGGCTTGTTTTTAACTACTATATATTTTCAAAACATATTTACATTTATTTTAAAGGTTTTATTGCACCAATCAGCAGCATTTATTGTTTGTTAGGGCCCTTCCTCATGAGCGTGTAGGCAGATGCCTACTGTATGTCACAATTTTGTTGTAGATTGCCTGTATTAATTATTATGGTTTTGTATTGCTGTAAATATTCTGTTTTCTGCAGAGGTTGGGTCGTATGTGACTTCTACCTCTGCAGGCATGTTATATCCTGTGTTCCGGGGTGCATATATCTACATAAGACTGGCCTTAGGAGGGTTTCCAACATGGGAGACGTCAGTGAAAACCAAGTGCGATAATGCAACTATCCTGCATATTTATCGCTTCCCCTTCAATGGGCCTGTTCTCCAGGGAAACCAAGTTTCATGGTCTCATGTTTTAAGATGTACATGTGCATCTCAAGTTCATCAGTAAAAGAACTTTATTTGTGTGAAGAAGTGGTCAGTGTCATTTACTGGGACAAGTATTTAAGTCAAGATGAGGTGTAACCTTGGTGTAGCAAAAGAACATTATGTTTGGGGAGATAAAGCCAGGCAACTGTCTGTGTTAAGTAGCCTTATGATGCTGAGGAATATTTGTGAAAGGTTAACCCTTGTGGTCAAGTACATTTGAGTGAACACACATTTAACTTTCAAGGTTGGGATGGTGATGGCCAGGACCTGCTGATTGGCTGTGTCCAATTACAGCACAGAGCCCTGTGTTTACAGACAACACAAGGCTCTGTATACAGGGCAGCATTGTGGTGGTTTCTTCTCCCTGCAAAGCAAAAGCAGCACGCATTACACATTGTTAGGCACACAGTTAACCCTTTGATTATCCCAAGATGTTAACCCCTTCCCAGCAATTGTCATTAGTACAGTGACAGTGTACAGTATTAGCACTGATCACTGTGTTAGTGTCACTATTGATGTCACTGTTAGTCAGTTAGTGTACCTCCCAGTCAGCGTCAGCTAGCAACAGATTGCCCACCACACTATCACAGTCCCATTATATGTCTCTGCTCACCACCATTACCAGTATAGAGTCATAGCTGCGTAAATTCTAGTATATATGTCATAGTTTGTAGACGCTAACTTTTGCACAAACCAATTAATATTCACTTATTTTTTTTTTTTCACCAAAGACATGTAGCTGAATAAATTTTGGCCTAACTTTATGAAGAAATTAGATTTTTTTTTAAATTTTTATTGCATATGTTTTATAGCAGAACATTTTTTTTTAAATTTTGGTTATTTTTTGTTTTTTCATTTAGTAAAAAATAAAAAATCCAGTGGTGATCCAACATCACCTAAAGAAATATCTATTTTTGGGAAAAAATTACCATATTTTTCGCTCCATAAGACATACCTGACCATAAGACGCACCTAGATTTTAGAGCAGGAAAACAAAGAAAAAAAATATTCTGAACCAATGGATTTGCAGACATAGTACAGGAGATGACGAGAGACTGCAGACATAGTACAGGAGATGACCAGAGACTGCAGACATAGTACAGGAGATGACCAGAGACTGCAGACATAGTACAGGAGATGACCAGAGACTGCAGACATAGTACAGGAGATGACCAGAGACTGACTGCAGACATACTACAGGAGATGACCAGAGACTGCGGACATACTACAGGAGATGACCAGAGACTGCAGACATAGTACAGGAGATGACCAGAGACTGCAGACATAGTACAGGAGATGACTAGAGACTGCGGACATACTACAGGAGATGACCAGAGACTGCGGACATACTACAGGAGATGACCAGAGACTGTGGACATAGTACAGGAGATGACCAGAGACTGCGGACATAGTACAGGAGATGACCAGAGACTGCGGACATAGTACAGGAGATGACCAGAGACTGAGGACACAGTACAGGAGACGACCAGAGACTGCGGACATAGTACAGGTGATGACCAGAGACTGCAGACCTTTGGGGAGCTGGGGGGGGGGCAGGTACCCGCTCCCATTTCCACAGTGTTGTCCTCCCTGTAGTCTTGTGGAACACGTGACAAGTCCCAGAAGACTACGGAGCCATTCAAAAAAGCACAGCGCGCTTCTCACGCATGCGCAGTGGGCACCTGGCTGTGAAGCCGCAAGCTGTCACAGCCAGGTGCCCACACTGAAGAAGCCGGCACCAGGGAGAGAAGAAGGCCAGTGAAAGCAGGACACTGCTGGACTGAGGAACAGGTAGGAGCAGGTTCTTCTGCACAGTAGAGCCGAGCGGCTGGCCCGGTATTCTAACACAATGGCGGCGACAGGTGGAATACCTGGCCGGCCGCTTGATATTCGCTCCATAAGACGCACAAACATTTTCCCCTACCCCCCCATTTTTGGGGGGGAAAATGCATCTTATGGAGCAAAAAATACTGTATATATATTTCTTTTGGGAACAGCATTGCATGACCACGCAGTTATCAGTTAAAGTAGCTTAGTGCTAAAAAGCAATAAATGACTTGTTCATTAAGGGGGGCAAAAGCTTCCAGCGATGATGTGGTTAAATAATGCAATTTAATTTTAAATATATTCTTGAGAAAATGATTCAATGGAACTACAGATTCAGTTAAATTAACTCGTACAGCTGTGAGAATTGACCCTATAGGCAAATAAAGTTCTATAAAAAAATCTCTAAATTTAACTTTATCCCTCCTATCTTCCATATTCCTATGAGCAGCTTTGCTGTCCGATAGGTTCAGGAAGGGCCAGGGCCAAGCTCAACATTGCAAAAAACTTCAGCTTCCTGTATTACTGGATTTACAAATCACTTTGACTTTTTTTTTTTTAATTTGGTCCTGAAGTTGATCCCTGCTTGTATTTTTTTTAATAAGCTTCATTTGTTTTGCCAAGGTTTATGACAGGTTTACTTTAATCAACTTAGTCAATTTTCTTTAGTTTTTTTTTATGAATTCATATTTTTAAAACTAAAAACAAGAAGCCAGGACCATAAAATGTATACCAGCCAATTGCCATCTTTTCCCCCACACATACAGCATGTGCCCTTGTGAATCTATGATCGGAAATAATACAATACAGTATACACAATACTGGATGTAGCTCAAACAAGGAAATGCTCTGAAGGATGCAACAAATAATAAAAAAGGAACATGAAACAATATGATCATTGTGAAGACCTGAATGCGTGTCCCATTAACTGTTTGTTAGCTAAATATGGCTAAGCCCTCTTGTATAAAAATTACACTTCTCCTAGCAATGACTGTATCACCCCACATAATGGTAGCAAGTCCTTCATCCATCAAATTTCCTGTTAGTAAAATAAAAATGACAGGTGACATTACTCATTTATTTCCTTGCTGAGAGATCCGCTGCTCACCAAACCAGCAAGAATATTTATCTATTCTATACACAGCTGGAAATAAAATTTCAGCTTCATTGTCATCAGCACAGATAACTTATATACATTCTCTTTAACAGATATAATTACTGGGAACTGTCCCTCAATTCATATTCTTTCTTACAGTCACTTTTGGCTTCAAATCATCATAACGAGCGCTTGCGTACCAGTCAATCACAGTCAGGTTGTGGATAACAAGGTTTATTATGAGAAGAAGACCTGAAAGTTTGACACAAGAAATACAATAAAGTACTTTGGGTTTTCAAATATTTTTATTCTTTATTGGAAAATGTGACTGTTCAAGAGCATATTGGATTCTTCACATTAAAGTGTATGTAAAGCTTGTAAAACAACCCATTTAAAATAGAAATAAAAAGTAAAACGTGTGTATAGATATAAAAACACTATAAACACCTCTTTACCCTTTTTTTAATAAGTGATCACATTGTCTCTGTTCATATCAGCACAGAGAGGTGAGGGAGGAGAAACAGCAGTACACTGAGCTTCTCAGTGAATGGCTGTGCAGAGGGTGGGGGGTGTGAGCAGAAGTCTTATAATTGGAGGAGATCACACTGGGGTTGATTTGTTAAAACTGTAGAGTGCAAAAGCTGGTGCAGCTGTGCATGGTAGCCAATCAGCTTCTATCTTCAGCTTGTTCAATTAAGCTTTGACAATAAATCCTGGAAGCCGATTGGTTTCTATGCACAGCTGCCCAAGATTTTGCGCTCTCCAGTTTTAGTAAATCTTGCCCATTGTGTTCCCAGCACAGCTAGAGAATTGACCACGCTGTGCTGTCATGCCTAGTGTAGTCAGCAGGAAGCAATACAAAGAGAACAGGATACTTTTTCATTCAAGTACATAATACAACAAGCAGGAATATGAAATGTTGGGATTACATATTCTTTAACCATCAATTTGGATTTTCAATTTAAACCCACCTAAATTAAAGGATTATTCCACTGTTATCATTTAAGTTTGAATCTGAATGTTTCCTTTGATGAACTCTTTATCTACAGTAGCATTGATCTAAATCATGTTTACACCCTAGGCTGACTTGCTCTCACTTATCTAATCTAACAGTCTATTAAACTTTGTAAATGGAAAATATAAAGCAACAGTATCTGCAGCTGCTTATGGTATCAGTAGTAACTTTTTTTTTATCTTTAAATGTATTTTACCAAATTAGATTAAAATTGAGTAAATGGTTCAATTGTTGGTGTCTGTTGATGTAATTAAAATATATATGTATTTTAAAGCTGGGCATAGATGGATGAAAATTTGTCTGGTTCAGAATTGGATTTGAATTTTGTGTGGATGTCATGCTTGATCGACTTCTGTCTGAAGCTTTTTGTCAATCAGCCAATTCACTGCAGACCCTGATCGGCATATTCTGACAGTAGTGAGTCCCGCTGTAAGAATACAATGTCCAGGCACGGGAATCGTTTATGTGGATGGAGGAATCTGCTGAACAAAGAATAAAGCTACCCATATAGGGCCAGCTTTAGGGCTAGTTTATAGCTGCTTTGTCCTCTGAAGAGCGATCCGCATTCGAGTTCCTCCTCAGACAGCATTAGACAGGCGATGAAGAAGCATTTTATCGCCTCCTCATTGCCTGCTTTTTCCCCTCAAATACCAGACAACCACATGCATTGTATGTGGTTGCGGGGAGGTTGCAGAGCAGCACCATTCACTTGAATGAATCACACTAAACGGAGTGTAACTCTTGCTGAGGTTGGGAAGTGAAGCATGACGGCTGCAGCATGTGTACATTCCCAGCTTCTGCCTCTGCAGCAAAAAAGGGGAGCAGTTAAGGAGTGGCTCAACCACAGGATTTTGCTGCCTCCCCCCCCAAATTGCAAGTGTCAATGAACCCATTGGGTGGTTCCACTCCACTGGAGGAACAACGGAGACACCTTTGGACAGCAGCATTGTCAATCTGGAGAAAGGGTAGTGTTAGATGCACCAGCAGATTTAGATGACTTGACTAACAAATAGGCCTAACTCCTGCTAAAATGTTTTAATCACGTACAACAGCAGTTTGTTTGTTTTTTAATTGTGATAATCAGAAAGCCCATCAGAAACTTGCTATTTGCATATTAATTGGAGGGTTCTTCACACAGTTCTGCAGGGCAATTGTTTATGCCAGATCTCTGTGCTTACAGTTTATGGTGTCAGCTATCAGCATATATTGGCAGTGTTACATGTCATCCATGGCAGTGCCTGGAATTCCATACCCTTTGTTTGACAATAGCTTGATTATTAGGCCCCTTTCACGTAGGCGTTCCACCCATCTGTTTTTCATCTGTCTGTTTTTGGATGGAAAATGGACAGTAATTCATTCCTATGGGATTGTGGATGTAAATAGATGATAATCCATTTACAGGCCTTTTCAAATGGGCATCACCAGTTCAGTCATGCTTTTTTGCTAATTAACCACCTCCCGCCCGCTGTATACAGAAATGAGCAACGGGTGGGAGCTTTCTCGTTCTCATATGACTTCCTCTCACTCTAGCTGCCCTGGGGGTGTGCAGCGCGGCGATCGGTGGTACACCATGTCCCTGGGACACAGCGGATCACAGGTCGCGGTATAGAGCTGATGACGTAGGCTCTACCATGTGATCAGCTGTGTTCAATCACAGCTGATCACATGTAAACAGAAAATGCCCGTTATCAGCAGTCCTTTCCTCATGCTGACAGTGCGTGAGGAGAGGAGAGCCGGTTAGTGGAATTCCTCACAGGGGACATCTACACTGATAATCAGGGCATTGATCATCAGTGCAGCCCCATGAGTGCTGCCTTTCAGTGCCCATCATTGCCGCAGATCAGTTCTCATCAATGTCAGATATCAGTGCAAAATAGTGTCCATCAATGCCCATCAGAGCTGCCTTTCACTGCCCATTAATGATGCCTTTCAATGCTTATCAATTCCGCCTGTCAGCTCCACTTCATCAGTGCATTTTATCAGTAGCCATCAGTACTACCTATCAGTACCAGTCACTGTCACCTATCAATGCTGCCTATCAGTGCTAGTCCGGGCTGCCTATCAGTACCCATCAATGATGCCTGTCAATGTCCTTCAGTGTTGCCTATCAGTGCCTCCTCATCAGTGAAGTCTATCAGTACCCATCTGTGCCACCTGTCAGTGCCGCCTATCAGTACCACATATCAGTGCCCATCAGTTCTGCCTTTCAGTGCCTTTCAATGATGCCTGTCAGTACCCATCAGTGCTGTCTATCAGTGTCATCTGTCAGTGCCCATCAATGCAGCCTCATCAGCACACATCAGTGAAGGAGAAAAAATATTTATTTACAACATTTTATAACAGAAACTAAGAAAAACTTTTTTTTCCCCAAAATGTTGTCCTTTTTTTAATTTGTGTAGCAAAAAATAAAAACCTAAGCGGTGATTAAATACCACCAAAAGAAAGCTCTATCTGTCTCAAAAAATTATAAAAATGTGGTTTGGGTACAGTGTTGCATGAATGTGCAATCCATTTACATCAGTTTGCACATCTGTCTTCAGTTCAGTTTGCACTTCAAACTGACAAAAGTTTAAACAAAAAAACATGTTTCTTGCCTAAAATGGACATAAGCAGAACCAACGTAAAGGGACAACATCCACTTACATCTGTTCATACCCGTTCTAAATTGAAAAGGTCTAGCCTTGTTCCAATTATAAAATATGGAC